CTGGCGCCGCCCAACCGCCCCTGCCTCCTTCCCCACCGCCGCCCGGCCTCCTCCCCTCACGTCCTCCTCCTTCCACCCCCTTCGATCTGGCGCCGCCCAAACCATGAAGAGCGGCCAAAGGAGCAACGACGGCCAGCCCCTGCCTCCTCTCCAGCACGTCCAGGGATCCATAGGTATGTGTCTATTTTGTTCTGTTATTGGTCATTGGCTGCTGCTAATCTTTGATTTTTGCTTTCTTTTTCATGCAGAATTGTCCACAATTACCTGATTCTCGTCCTTCTGGTCAAACCCCTGGTAGGCGCCTCCTTCGATGTGTGCGTGCACGTCATCTATTCACAGCCTCGCGCGTCTTCTTCCACGGATCTTCAGGTCAACCCCTCTTCTTCTCCTTTCCCCTCTTCTTTCCATACCTAGGTGTAGGATTGTATGGCAATATGCATTTTTGGCCTCGCCTCTGTTGTGATTGTCGGTCATGTATTTTCTGGTAAAAGCCAAAAGTATTTATGTCTTTGTGCATTGGATGTTGGTGGTTTCCTGTCTTCACTGCTTGTTTTTAGTGGAGTCTAAATATATGTCTTTTGTTCTTTGTCTGCATCCTGGTAGGGCCTATGATTGTTGGTCCTTCCACCTTTGTGCATCACCATCCTATGGAGCCATGAGATCTGAACCAATGAATACAGACAACATTAACTATGTTTGTGGATCACCACATGTTCTATTGGAACAAGGTGAGATCCTTTTTTCAGCACTCGTTTCAACACGTGTTTTTGCTTTCTGAGTATAATTGAACATCTTCAGCATCCATGGTGTACTGTTCTATATACTTTTTACTTGCAAGTCTGCATCTCTATGTTTCATTGCTATTATAATTATGTACTTGTTAGAAAATTATAAGGGATTTTCTCACCGTGTCGTGTCATCAGGTGAGACATATAGTCTCTACATTTCCATCATGCACAGACTTTGTATGCATGGTGCTTCCGTGGATTAGGAAATCATGGCTGGAGCGTAGAGGTTAGGGATGTGCAAATATTGATTAAAAGTATATTTATTTGTATTTACAACAACACACTGGATCACATCCGGTAAATATTTTTGTAGAATATCAGTCAAGTTTAGAACTTTTGACCACAACAGCTGAAAAACCAAAGTAAATCCATCATATATATTCAGTTCAGTAAAGTATATAATCAGGATGCTAATCTTTGACCTATATATTCAGCTGAAAAATTCCTGAATTAGTATGTCAATTCCATGTGCAGAGAAAAGGAGAAGAAGGGGATGGATGAGCAAGGACCAGAAGGACCAGAAGAAGAAGGGCAAGGGAGATGGGGCGATG